AAATTATACACCACAGTTTAAACATTAATGATTAAATTGTAACAGATTCAGATTTTACAAAAATGTTTAAAAGTTCACACGTATTTCGAAAGCTGTAAATGATATAACTTCAAACAGTCACTTAGGGTTAAAAAGAACATTTGCACATACCACAGATGTTTTAGTAGGATATAAACATAATGTGGTGTGCTGAAACAAAAGGAATATTTATACAGAACTGGTATAAATGATTTCCGGTTAAAGCACACTATTCCTTATCTTGAAAACTTTGGTATTTGCACAAAATGTTACCATGAAGAACACTGATTTTAGAACTACTCATTCTCCTTTGAAATTAGAAATTAATAAGATCACAGTTCCAAAAATGCATTTCTAACTGCATAACTCATACATTATGCTTTGAAAGTTGAACAGTGACTTAGTGTGTGTGTGCATTGGCACAAGCCAAAGAAATATGAAAAACTTTAAAAAGCTCATAGAGCCCAGGGACATGTGGATGGCAAAATGTGTCCAGATTATTCTCTTAATTTCAATGAAAATAGATTTTATAAAACTGACTGTTCCAAAAAATTTTAATGGACTGAGTTGAAAATGATTGTTTGAAAGGACTTTTAGTAACAAGGAAAAAAGCATCACTTCAGCTATGAATGACAACTGAACTGTTAATGTTGGGGGAGGCATTGTAGTATTGTGACCGTTGCGGTTCTGCGCAGTCTCGTGCCCTCCACCACCTCGTTCCGTCCCGCAACACCTGGAGCATGAACCCGGGTCTCCGGCGTAACGCAACAGGGAACCAGTCGCATAAGCTAAAGGAGACCTCCCCCAGCCCAGGCAGCTGAGGTCCCTGCTACGCGCAGTGAGGGCAATGACGTCACTGTATCCGAACTAGCTTCGCTACAGTATGGTAGCTACTTCTGTGTGGAGTTTGCATTTTCCCCACATTCCTGTATCTTTTTTCCATGTGCTCCAGTTTCCTCCAGCTTTTCAAAACCTGCTGGAATCTGTAAGTTGCCCCCGTGTTCTTGTGTGTGTATGTCCTCCCCAAAATGGGTTGTTCTTCAATCTAGGGTGCAGTCCCATCCTGAGTCTTGCACTTCCATAATAGGCTCTGGGTTGCTGTGACTCTTACCGGGAATATGCAGAAATTACTTGCTTTTATTATCGGGAACATTTCCATTAATTCCTGATGAAATTGCTGGAAAATGTCATCCTGGCCCTATGTAATTGATTTGATCAATAGAAAATCAAACCAACACCCAATAAAGTTATGAAATGAAATATTTTCAGATTAGCCTCTGAAAATGCCTTTGTGTTCAATTAACATTTTAAGCACTGTTAGATGACATTTAGGGTTACTTTTCTGACAGTTTAGTTTTGTTATACTGGTAGATGTCATTAAACTACCCATTTGGTAAAGTAAACAGCCAAGGAAGAGTAAATTAAACTGAGCTAAATTACAGGACGTAGTTCAACTTTGTCAAGTGATATAAAAAGGGATTTTTGACCCAAGATGACTCTACAATGATGTAAACGTCAGAGCTTATGGAATATTTAAAACACCAAATAATATTCTTTCCATTATGCGCTGGAATTATGCTAGTAATCACTTATCCTACATTATACTTGTTGCATGAAATATACTTGTTGGATATATTTTCATTACCTCAACAGATTGTAGGCAAATCCTATTTAGTGCTAACATTATTTCCAATATGTGTTGTGCAATTTAAATTTTTTACTGGTTTAAGTGGACATAAATCTCATAAGCTCTTAGTAAGCTACCGAGCCTTTCGATTTTTAATAACAAAAATATGTTTCTAACAGTACTACTACAGCCAGACTGATGGTATTAATTCTGGTGCCTGACTGAATGCAGACATGCTATTTTAAACTGCACTGGGTACAAATCTCTTTCTAATGGAGCATCTAAATGAAAATAACACTGATAGAGAGGCACATGCACATAGACAGATATGGTGCAAAATCCAAGCATGTTTCAAACCTTGTCATATTGTATTGGCATTAACCTATGACGGCTCAAAATGACAATAATGGGTTGCAGAATTCAGCAATGATTAAAAAAATTTAGTATGTAGCAAAACAACAATCTTAAGGTCTTTCTGAGATTTGTGGAATAGAAATTTCCAGCAAAACTGAAATAAAGCTAATTTGATCTCATGTGGTAGTGTACAACTGTGATAAACATTAACATGAAGCATCTACCATCAATTCTGACACAAAGTGACACATTAAACATAAAATATACACTGGTATGAAAAAGGAGAGTTAGCTAAAATATAAGCTGACTATAGGTAAGCCTATAGGAAGATATGGGGCAAGATAAATAATATACAGTGCCTTGCGAAAGTATTCGGCCCCCTTGAACTTTTCAACCTTTTGCCACATTTCAGGCTTCAAACATAAAGATATAAATTTTTTATTT